GCTTTCAAGGAGCCCCCAACAAAAGGCTTTGGTGGTGTGGGATCCTTGGCTATCCACCACCCAACTGGAATCCTCACTGCAGTAAGGCCATTTTGTGACATGAATTTGAAATCCTCATCAGTGATGTAAGTATTCCAATGTTCCTGTAAAACACAAATTGAGATTCATCATCTTTGATCTATCATATAAGACTATATACTGCATTTTAAAACAGTCTCCTACCTGCAAGATTTGACGAGCTTTATCAGGGCCATAACCATTTGTAATCTGGTATTCACCGTGTAAAGTGCCACCGCTCACGATTGTCATTTTGAAGACAGAAGGATTGTCATCTGCCCAACTAGATGGCCCTCCATAATCTGCTGTTACTTGCATCTCTGAATTAGCCTATGCAACGTAAAAGCAAACTGTCATGCCTTTCAGTAGCATTTCCTCCTTGATTCTTCTCCCATAGAAACTATTAAATTGAAAGCACAGTGCAAAAAACTAACTTATTATATACAAAATCTCCTACTTGGATCAATGGTTGTTGATATCATGTTAAACTAGTCAGGTGAATTTTGAATCTTTGTGACTCAACATAAAACTGCCAACTTGGTTTCAACATTTTTCAGTGACCCGTCTCTAAATGGTAAAATTAATCTGGAACACTTCAAGAATGTACCTGGAGGAACATGCCATTTGAGGCTTTGAGGCGAATTCGATTGGGATCACCATCATTCCTAACAATCTGAAAAGTTTCCTGGTTTCCAGGTGTAGTCGAAGTAGCCACTATCCCGGCACCTTGGCCTCCAAGTCCAACAAACTGCTTGTAGAACACTCTCAAATTAAAATATGACTGATTGACCCTCCACAACTGCATATAATTGGGAAGCAAAAAAGGTGAGCAGAACATAACCATTATTTAGTGATACTGCAACTGCACAAGTAATTGATCTTTATATTAGCTGGAATAACTAACCCTGAAAGTTTCCCAACCAGAAGCCGAGGCACGGTTGGCTACAACATTAGTTCCCCCTCCATTTTCAGCACATACATACTTCTGCCATTTTGTGGACATGAATTGCACTTGTGTTCCATCCTGCCAAAAAACCAACAAACATTGATCTAAACTCTAAATCTATAAAGTTTTTCACCATTACAAAAATATCAAGTTGATACAAAAATTCAAATGTAAACAAGAAACTTGCATGATTGAGCTAGGTAGCTCACACCAACTCCATTTTTGATAAAAACGAAGCTTATAACATGTATACCAGAAGATCTTTGTTAGGTATTCCATCAAAAAGAGAAGGCTTCATCCATCCTTCCGTGACAAGCCAATTCCCCAAATTAACAGCCTTCAGTGGCAATTTTAGGCCTACATCTGCATGGGAAAGTAAGGGAGCACATGAAATGAGGAAGAAACCCAATACAAGGGTTATGTGACAGTGAAAGTAACCCATCTTAGCTTCCTTGTTGGGAAAAACAAAAGAATTAAGATGAAAGTATCTCTTTCATGAGTGTGTAGCTAGAGATGCTTAAACAATTGCATCAAGCAAACTTATATAGACATCGAATGTGGAAAATGGGTTCCTCTGAATTTTGAGAATTCCCGTCTGAAATTTCAGTCTTTAGACAATCATCTCTTTCTTGAACCATAGTTGAGTGGAATAACATCACGTGGCGAAGAATTGACCGTGTAGCCTTGTGTTAAGGCCTGATTGGTTAAAAAATCTGTAAAGTTGAGTGTCCAAAAAAAAAAATCAGTAAAGTTTTTGTTAATAAAGTTTTTTTAAAAAAGTTAAATATTATATAAGAAGTTAATAAGTTTTATAATATAATTTTTTTAACATATGTCATAAGTTACAAATTAAAAATGTATTAATTATATTTTATTATTAATTATTATAAAAAAAT